TTACTTTTATGCCATTCTCCTATGTTCAGTAACATATTTGTGATGACAGATAAAGGTCTGTCTTTAATGACAAAAGCAGGCAAAGTAATTGCAGGTGGAACATTCACAATTTGGATTATTTTCAAGCAACTCTAAAGGTCCTTTGCATATGCATTCATAATTGTGCTGAGGCTTACATTTTAACTGACAAAGTTCAGGTATGGAGTAACCCACTTATTCTCATCCACTAACACGTATTTCAACAGATAAATCACAGAGCTAAAGAATTCAGCATATGTTTTAACAGAATTTAATTCAATTTGATTCAAATTAAAACAAAATTTCTTTTTTTTTTTTCTTTTTGAGTTGGAATCTCACTCTGTCACCCAGATTGGAGTGCAGTGGCAGCTCCCGGCCACCGCAGCCTCGACCTGCTGGGCTCCGGCGATCCTTCCGCCTCAGCCTTCCCAGTAGCCGGAATTACAGGCATGCGCTACCATGCCTGGTTGATTTTTTGACTTATTGTAGAGATGAGGTCTCGCTGCCCAGGCGGGTCTCGAACCCCCGGGCTCAGGCAATTCACTCACCTCAGCCTCCCAAAGGTGTGGATTACAGGCTGAGTCACTGAGCCCGGCTTACTGTGCATTTCTTAAATGCTGGTAGCCAACTTCATATGTACTTCAACATTGCTTTGTGGTTTTCGATTTTCCATGGCTTTGTCCAGTAACTGATTGTTGCTGCAATTCAGAGTTAAGAAGCTAAGAGAGTCAAGAAGGCAGTTTTTAGGGTCTACTGTGTATTTTCCCATATACATCTGTCTTTAAGGATATTTAATATGGAAGGGTTATTGTGATTAGATCTGATGACTCAAGTTTGGCATACTATATTTCCTCAGTCTCTAAGTGACTAGTATCACATATCTCTTGGTTGATTTTTCCATGCTCTCAGAATATACAACTTTTTGTTTTAATTTGAATCAAATTGAATTAAATTCTGTTAAAACATATGCTGAATTCTTTAGCTCTGTGATTTATCTGTTGGAATGATAAGTTTGCTGTAGTATGTGATTATAAACACATACTTTGCTACAATTAATTTTAAATATTCCTTAAATGGACACCAGGCCATCAGAATACAATGATTTATGAAATTGATGTATGTTGAGAATGGATAGAGTGAGTGTATTAGAAGGTCTGTGTGATCTCTAAGGTACTAAAGTCAGCTGATCAATTCTTATAGCAATTGAAAGTTGAAATGATTGTTATTTGATGTAGTAAAGCACCTGTTTTGCTAGATTTTCCCTGAAAAAATTAAAGTCTATTAATTTTCAAGGAACAGGGTCATTTAGATTTACATTCTCTGCACTCAACTGAATAGCACAAACAATCTTGTTGAATGGAAGTCACTACAGATTTCAAAAGATGACCTTTAAATTACCATAGTACCCTAACCTAAGAAGCATATTTGTTTTATCATGGTAACATCTCTAACATTAGGAAGCATCTTGGAATTGAGGTGTGCAATTCAATGTTGTTTTTCTTTTGTCCTTCTTTTCTTTCTTTCCAAAAGTTATTAAATTGATGCTATATCTATAACTGATGGCATATTAAAATTGAAGAATAATATAATATAAATATAAATTCCATGGGCTAAAATGGTCAGTTTTAATTTCATGAAAGATATATATAATTTAAAAAACAAACAAATTTAGTATCTATTCCTATGGATTTTTCAAATTTGTAGAATTCACTAACCTTTCTTATCTGTAGAATTCTAGTAGTGTAATCACATTCCCATATTCTCTCCACACATATTGGATTTTATGAAAACATGTTAAAAATTACATTCTGAATATATTAACTGTAGACTTTATTCAATAACTGTAAACCTTTAGCACAATTTCTGGCATATTGCAGACACTCAATAAATAGTTAAGAAATTTTTGACCAAAACACTAAGTGCTTCAGCGTTTTCACATGAGCTCGAGATTGCTCTAAAAGGCTTTACTAGGGTATGGTATGTGATTTAATTCTATGAATATATTTTAACAGTGGAATTAAAAACAGAAAAAACACATCGTAATTCCAGGTTATGAGGATGGAATCAGAAATCTGACTTCCATTGTGTAAAGAAAATAACTAATAGAAGCTGTTGAAAAATTTTATGTATAATCGTTGCATATATGAAAAAATACATAACATTGTGACCATATATCAGAAAAATGTTGATATTGAGAAACTGATAATGGAACCAAAATCTAGTGTCTTTTGAGAATGGCATGTATATCCTGTTTCTTCTGAAAATGTTTGCTTATGATTTCCTTTTATAAAACAACATGATCTATAAATAATAGAAAAAATGACACTGAATAATTTAACCCATTTGAATGATTTTTTTCATTATATTTGATATCTTGGGTTCTTGCATATATCATAAACTTGTATCTTGGGTTTTGCTAAAAGTCTGGGGAAGTGTAGATAAATTTTCAATGCAAAATTAGTTTTAATTTACTTAATATGTTTATGTGTGGGTGAGAGAAAGAGGGAGCGGGAGGGAGTTCATATGTGTTGTGTAAATAAAGCAGCTATACAAGAATGTAAGTTTCCCTGCATTTTTAATAGATTTTTTATTTTTTAATTTTTATTTTAAAGATGTGAAGTACAATTCAGGGTTAGGTATACAAATATTCATTATGTAGTTTCCCTTGTTGATGAGGTGTGCCCCCCCAACCCAGCAGTTTCCCACTATTGCCAGTCCTGCCCTCCCCCCCGGCAATTTTCCACTACTGCCAATCTTTTTCTTATGGTATTGCAATAATTGTTCATACACTTATGAGTGAGAACATGTGATACTCAGTTCTTTGTTTCTGTGATAGATCACTCAGTATTACAGACTCTAAATCCATCCAAGTTGCTATGAAGTTCATAATTTTGTCCTTCTTTATGGCTGCATAATTTTCCATCATGTATATGTACCACATTTTTTAATCCAGTCCTCTTTTGATGGGCAGCACGGTTGGTTCCATGTTTTTGCTACTGTGAGCAATGCTGCAATAAACATACGTGTGCAGGTATCTTTTTCATAGAATGATTTGAGTTCCTCTGGGTTTATTCACAGAAGGGGGATTGCACGGTTGTATGGACGTTTGATTTTTAGATCTTTTAGGAATCGCCTGTTTTCCACAGAGGCTGTACTAGTTTACACTCCCACCAGCAGTGCTCCCTTTTTGCCGCATCCTCTCTAGTATCTGTTGTTTTTTGAGTTATTGATGATGGCCATCCTGAATGGAGTTAGGTGGTACCTCAGTGTGGTTTTAATTTGCATATCTTTGATGATTAGTGAGGCTGAGGATTTTTTCATGTATCTTTTGGCAGCTCGTATGTCTTCCTTTGAGAAGTGTCTATTCACTTCTTTTGAGAAGTATCTATTCACTTTGTAATGGGCCTGTTTTTTTTTCCCCCGCAGCACATTTGAGTTCCTTGTAGATCCTAGATGTTAGGCCTTTGTCAGATATACAGTTGGCAGATATTTTTTCTCAGTCCATGGGCTGTCTTCTTGCTCTCTTGAAGGTCTCTTTGGCTTGTCAGTTTGATGAGGTCCCACTTGTCTATCTTATCTCTTATGGCATGGGCACTTGGAGTTTTGATCAGGAATTGGTTGCCAGTTCCAATTTCCATAAGGGTATCTCCTGTATTTTCAAGATTCTTATAGTTGGAAGTTTTACGTTTAGTTCTTTCATCCATTTAGAGCTGACTTTTGTTTATGGTGATAGGTAGGGGTCTTGTTTTAATCTTCTGCATGTGGTCAGTCAGTTTTCCCAGCACCATTTACTGAATAAGTTCTCCTCTCCCCAGTGGTTAGTGGCAGAGGCTTTGTCAAAGATGAGTTGGTTGAGAAATTTATGTTTCTGGAATCTCAATCCTGTTCCATTGGTTTGTATGCCTATTTTTTAACTGTAACTTTAGATTTGTAACAAAGTTAAGAGGAAGACACAGAGAGTTCCCATATTTCCCAGCCCCCAAACATACATGGCCTCCTCCATTACCAACACTCCTCACCACATTGATACATTTGTTACCATTAATGAGTCTATATCAACACACGTTATCACTCAAGGTCCATAGCTTATATTAATTTGGGATCACTATTAGGGTTTTGTATTTATATGAGTTTTGATAAATTTATGACATGTATCTATCATTATAGTATCATGCAGAAGAGTTTTCCTGCCCTGAAAATCCTGTGTTCTGACTACTTATCCTCCCTTCCCCACTAACCCTTGCCAAATTTTTTACTATCTCCATAGTTTTGCCTTTTCTAGAACATCACCTAGTTGAAGTTGTCTAGTATGCAGACTTTCGAACTGCCTTCTTTTTTTTTTTTTTGAGTTGGAGTCTCACTCTGTCGCCCAGACTGGAGTTCAGTGGCCGCTCCCCGCCACAGCAGCCTTAATCTGCTGGGCTCCGGCGATCCTTCCACCTCAGCCTTCTGAGTTGCTGGAATTACAGGCATGCGCTACCACGCCCAGCTGATTTTTTGATTTATTGTAGAGATGAGGTCTCGCCAAGTTGCCCAGGTGGGTCTCGAACCTGCGGGCTCAGGCAATCCACTCACCTCAGCCTCCCAAGGCGTGGGATTACAGGCTGAGCCACTGAGCCTGGCTCTCAACCTGCCTTCTTAAACTTAGCATTTAAGTTTCCTCTATGTCTTTTTGTGACTTGATAGCTAATTTCTTTTTAGTGATGAATACTATTTCACTGTTTGGATGGTCCACAGTTTGTTTATCCATTCAGCTACTGAAGGACATCCTGATTGCTTCCAAGATTTGGCAATTATGAATAAAGCTGCTATAAACACCCGTGGGCAGGCTTTGGTGTGGACCTAAGTTTTTAACTTCCTTGGATAACTACCAAAGAGTGTGATTGCTGGATCAGATGGTAAGAATATGTTTAGTTTTTTAAGAAACTGCCAAACCATCTTCCAAAGCAGCTGTACATTTTGTGTTCCCACCAGTCATGAATGAGAGTTCCCATTGCACCATGTCCTCACCAGCATTTGGTGTTATCGGTATTCTGGATTTTGGACATTCTAATAGGTGTGAGTGGTGACTTGTTTTATTTTTTGAGTTGGAGTCTCACTGCTTTGCCCAGGTTGGAGTGCAGTGGCACGCTCATAGCCATCACAGCTTCAACCAGCTGTGCTCAGATGATCTTTTGGCCTCAGTCTTTCAAGTAGCTGGAACTATGGGGTGCGCACCACCATGCCCGGCTAATTTTTTGATTTATTGTAGGGATGAGGTGTCGCCAAGTTGTCCAGGCTGGCCTCGAAACCCCAGGCTCGGGCAATCCTCTTACCTCAGCCTCCCAAAGAGCTGGCATTATAGGTGTGAACCATCACACCTGGCCTCCATTGTTTTAATTTGTATTTCCCTGACGTTGTATGTCATGAGCATATTTTCATATGCTTATGTGTCATGTATATTTTTTTTTGGTGGAGTGTTCATTAAAGTATTTGGTCCATATTTTAATCAGATTGTTTTCTTTCTTATTATTAAGTTTTAAGAGGTATGTATTTTGGATAACACTACTTTACCAGATTTTTTTTTTTTTTTTTTGCTATTTTCTCCCAGCCTATGTCTTTTCTTTTCATTGTCTTGAAAGTGTCTTTTCCAGAGCAGGAATGTTTAATTTTAATAAAGTCCAGCACATCAATTCTTTATTTCATGGATTGTACCTTTGTTGTCGTAGTTACTGCCAATCCAAAGTCATCTAGATTTTCTTCTATGTTATCTTCCAGGAGTTTTATAGTTTTGTGCTTACATTTAGGTTTATAATTGGTTTTGAATTAATTTTTGTGAAGGGTGTAAGGTTTGTGCCTAGGGTCTTTTTTTTTTTTTTTTTTTGCACGTGGATGTCTAGTTGTTATACCACCACTTGTTTAAAACAATATCTTTTCTTTATTTTATTGCTTTTACTCCTTTGTCAAATATCAGTTGACCATATATACTTATGTGTATTTATGTTTATATGTTTATTTCTGGGTTTTCTATTCTGTTCTGCAGATCTCTTTACTTATTCTTTTGCTAATACCACATTGTCATTGTAGATTATAGTAAGCCCTGAAGTTGGGTAGTGTCAGTTCTCTGATTTTGTTCAGTATTGAGTTGGCTATTCTGTGTCTTTTATCTCTCTGTATAAACTTCAGAATCAATTTTTCAATATCCACAAACTAACCTTGTTGGGATTTGGATTGTGATTGCATTGATTCTACAGATAAAGTTGGGAAGAATTGACATCTTGGCAATATTGAGTCTTTCTATCCATAAACATGGATTATCTTTCCATTTATTTAGTTCCTATTTGATTTTTAATCAGAGTTCTGAAGTCTTTCTCGTACAAATCTTGTATATATTTTGTTAGATTTGTATTTAATTGTTTCACTTTTTGAAGTACTAATGTAAATAGTATTGAATTTTTAATTTCAAATTTCACTTGTTCATTGCTGGTGTATAGAAGGCAACTAACTTTTGGATATTTACCTTGTATTCTCACACCTTGCTATAATTGCTTACCAGTTTGATGTTGTGTGTATGTGTGTTTTGTTCATTCTTTCAAATTTTCTACATACACAATCATGCCATCTGCAAACACATATGGCTTTATTTCTTCCTTCTCAACAATATTGAAAAGCAGTGTTGAGGAGACATTCTAGCCTGGTTCCTGAAAACTTTCCTTAATGTTTTGCAAGTCAAATTCATTTCTATTTTGAACCTGCTGAAGTGGCGACATTCTCATCATCGTCAGTGTGGGTTTTTCTGGCTTTCTTTGAGTTGGCTCATGAACTGCCAAGACATTGTGTCAGGATCCATTTGTCCCTTAGTTGTCTGTCCACACGGCTATCTGCTGAGATGTGAGTCACTGCTCATCTAATCTTCTACTCTCTGTCCATGCAGTTCACTCCTGTGGTGCCTCTCCATCTTGTTGGCAGCCCCTTCAGTACCGTTCAGTCTCTCGATTCCTCTTGTACCTAGTTTGGGGATGCTGGAATCGCTTTGTTGCTTCTCCCCATCTCCACAAACCTGCCTGAGGTTGGGGTTGCTTAAGATAAGTCACACAGCCATTTCCTCTCTGAGTCTTGTTCCTTTCCCAATAGATTTCCTGGAGGAGAACACGGACTCTCTCTCTCACAAGATACTATTTTTTCTCCCTTACTTTTCCTATAATATTCCAGAAAAAGAGAATCTTTCAGACAAACCATCTCTCCCTTACCCCTGGTCACCAGGGATCATATTTTTATTACTTTTCTCCACATCTGTTTTCTCTTCCCAGCCTGATAGATTATTTCTAGTCTCTTCTCAGATCCTTTTCTTTTCTCCAATATTTCTCCCAAACACTTTGTCTATTTCAGGAATACTTTCATCTCCTCTAAGAGCTTACGTTTCAGAAACTAACACCAAAAACATCCCTTTGTACATGCTTCTCACCTTTTATATCTCTTCTCCAAAGCATTTAGCACACAATGGCCAGACTGGTTGATGACAAAAATCAACATTTTCTAAAGAAAGGAAGAGAATGTACTGTATCAAGAAATGTTATCCCACTGCATAGGTATTGGTATTTACTTTATTTTGTGGGGTCAGGTTGGCTTCAGTTTGTGCGTGTTTATAATTATTCAGATGACAGGGATGGGAGTGTCAAGCCCAAAGATTTTGGGAATCCTCATATAAAACTAGGAGTTACTGAGGCATTTTTTGGTATTTTAATTGATGTATCCTATTTGTATATACTTTGTGAGTGCATGTGATTTTTTGATACACGTATTTAACATGTATATTTATCTTTTCTTTGTGTTGGAAACATCACAATTCTTCTCCTCTAGTTATTTTGAAATATACAACACCTTATTGTTCGCTTCAATTTTCATATTGTACCCTCAAATACTAGAACTTATTCCTTCTGTCTAACTGTACCTGTGTGCCCATGAAAGACATTTTTGGATGTCACAGTAAGTGAGAAGGTAAAGACCTTTAGAGAAATGCTTTCTCCTGTGATGTCATTTTTTGGAATAATAGACTAGGATTGTTGAACACTGAACCCTAATTCATTTTGAAAAAATTTTATTAGTGCTAAACACCGGAAAAACTAATAAATAATAGATAGTAACTATTATTTTTTGCATTTGTAGCTATAAAACTGAGACACTGAAAAGGAACTCACTCCCAGCTTAGTGGCAGAGTTAAGAATTGACCCCAATTCCTGTTTTAACATTCAAATGCAGCATTCTGTGAGGTGCCTGGCACTATTCTAGGCATTTATTATGTTTGCATAAAACAATAGATTTTCAAATTTTTTTTTTTGAGTTTTTCCCTCCTTAGGGATTTCAGATTAATTTTGGCTGCTTTTAGCTCATTCATTCTAACAAGAAAAAAATAAAGATCATTTACAAAGAGTATATAGGTTAGCCTTGTAAACATTTCCTAGAGTTATCAGTGCACATACCCATAACCAAGAATAAGATATATGAGGAGGGGGTGTGCAATATCTCTCTCTATGTCTTATGTATCCATGTGACTACTTAAAACCTACCATATATGCTAAACTTCTTAGGCTCCTTATTCCCATTTGTTTCTTTATTCTTAAAGACATTATAATTTCCACAAACACATATACTTGTATGCTTACTACATATAATAACAATCACAATAGTAATAATAATAATAACCAAAACTTATTGGGTACTTGCTATGTGCTTGGTACTTCTGGGGAGTTTTACATGTCTTAAATCACTGGATGCTCAAAACAAACTCATGTCCACAATATATAGTTGGAAAATTGAGGCACAGAGAAATTAACAGAAACTGGCAAATAACAGAGGGAGGAGCACACTGGGTCATCCATGTTTGTAGTTGCTTCTCTCTCTGAATGCAGAAGTGGCAATATCAGCGCTGCTCATTCTCCTTGCTCATCACAGGTCTTTACAGTAGGTTCGATGGAAAAATAACTTCTGGAAACTAAGACTGATGTCTCTGTAATTATTTTTTCCTAATTTGTGTGTAATACAGCACTCACTGCAATTATTTTTTTTTTATTTTTAACTTTAAAGATATGGAGTATAATTCAGGGTTAGGTATACAAATGTTCATTATGCAGGTACCCTTGTTGATGAGATGTGCCCCCCTCCTCTGCACTGCAATTATTTAGAATTTTTTCACATTGGAAGAGGCAAAGTGATCTGCACAGGTTTTGCAGAAAACTGATAGTATAATCCCTAGATTTCCTTCACCACATTGTCCTTTACCAATATCTCCCCCACCAATGTGCTAAAAAGGGGCCCAGCAGACCATGTGAGACAGAACAATACAATACTTTTTTAGTATCTCCCCAAATTAGATTATCGTCCTATGAATGATTGTTATATTTATTGTTGGCGCTTCTTAGAGCTCTCTTCCCATGAGCTCTCCCCAACTGACCCGCAAATGTCAGACTCAGCATTTCTCTTTCTCCCAGAGCTGGGCTAGTCCTCAGATGTCATTTTTGTGTGTGGACTTTCTGTAATTCATTTGCCCAGAGTATACTTTTCAATGGACATAGTTCACTCTTTGTTGATTAGAGTTGTGGAGTATTTGCTATCTGCCTGGGTTTTGCAAATTATCTGTGGTAAAGGATTAAAGTGTAAACATTAGGTCATTGGCCTTCAAAGTGGTGGATGGGCTGATATTATAGTTTAAAAATCTCTAAGTGAATTTATTTCTTAATATATTAAAGGATGTTGACAGGGCATTTTTTTGTATACAAAGTGAATTAACTATGGTCAGAGGTGATCTTAAAGTTTAAGCTGCTGGCTATTTCTATATTACATTTCAAAAGTATGAATGAATGGAAACACATATTGCTTGTTAACAATGTTAAGCAATCATGGCCATCTCCTTTCTTGTGTTATAATTTTTTTTTGCCTGTCTTTGCTTTTAATTTGTAAAGTCCTTGAGAGGAATTAATGTGCATATTAATACTTGTGTGTGTTTCATAAAGGCTGAAAACTGTTTTGATACAATGTAAACTCTCAAGAAAAACCTTGAATTAACTCTTTATTCAAATC